TTTTAAGAACTCCAAAGCCTTATGTGACATTCCCCCTTCTGCTGCAGAATTTTGTACAGGCCCAAGTTGTGCTGAGTCTATTTATTATTTAACTGGGAGAGATCTATTTATTTATAGTGTCTAACATACAAGATCAACTATGATCATCCTATTGCTAAATCCAATAGACAACTGTTCAACTAGACTTGACTTTTGAGCTTCCATGTTGGTCTCTGCATCATCCAATTTTAGCAAGAATCTTGCTCAGTCACTGTAGCCAGAATCCCCACCCTCACTGTCTGATTGGTTTTCTCATTTTTCACTATCCACAGGTGATGTCTGTTCACCTTGGCCTGTTTTCAGCAAGAATCCTGTTCTTACCCCTGATGCTTCCTCTTAGTAACTTTCCATCCACTGAACCCCACCCTGCTCCTTGGCTATAAATTCCAAGTTTTCCTTGTCACATTGGGAGTTGAGCCTGATCTCTCTCCCCTATTACAAAACCCCATCGTAGTAGCCCCCCTTGAATGAAGTCTGCCTTAACGTCTTTAACAACCATCATGTATATCATCTTATGAAGTGTACATGAGAGCTCAGAGAGAAGGGTTGAAGCTTAACTTCCCAATACTTCCAAAAGGTTAGCTGTTTCTGTTTTATGGGCCCAAATGGAACTACTAAGAGATGAGAAAAATTCCCCACACAATCATTAGCATAAACTGTTGAAGAAGTTTGTCTTTCCACATGCCCTCTTATCAGTTCTTATAACAAACACACTTTTGCAATTTGGCCCAGTGACTCAGACTTTCTGATCAGGGCTCTGCACTTCCCAGCTTAGCCCTGCCACTGGCACCTGCCCCCAGCATCATTTTCCTCATACAGAGACAGTGCAGTATTGTCCTACCCAGCCTGAAGTACTCTTGGGATAATTATATGAAAATGCTATGTAGTTTTAAAATACTTTATAAACTTAGATGTTGATAGTACCCCCACGACACATTTCTGTGGCTTTGACAACCTAAAATATCAATCCTATCAAACTTCTAGGAGACATTCCTGAGACTGCAGATTTTGACATTTTACATGCAAGTTGTTGTTTTAAAAGAAAATGGTGGGGAGTTTTCTTCTTCAGACTTGAGTATACAGATGAGATGGTAAAGGGTGAAGGGAAGAGGAAGATGGATAGGGAAGGTCTTAGGAAACAAATCTTGGAGAACCAACCTGCAAGAAATGGGAATGCCAGACAAGAGCTTAAAAAAAAAAAGTCCATACTATAACATCTGTTATTTGAGGAAACATTAAGAAAATGTTTTGGTGTACACTACCTTTTCTAGAAGTAGCCACACATTGCAGAGGGAATAAAAATGAAAATTACTCTATTTATTGAGCTCTTCTCTTTCCCAGGCATTGTGCTAATCACTTACATATAGTTTATCTTCACAGCTACTCCTTGGGAGAGTAGTATTATCTTTATTTTGTCAAAGAGGACACTGAGGCTTGCAGAAGCTGGGCAACACACCTAGGTCACACAACTGATAAGGTAGAGCCTGATTCATACTTGCCTTTGGTCTACACCATGCTCTTAACTGGTGTTACAGGGCAATGGTGATAAGTAAGGAAACCCAAGCACTCATGCTGGTTAACTCTTAAGACCTTGGGCTCCAAATCCCCTATCTATAAAATGACAAGGCCAGGCTGAATACGCTTCAAATGGCTCTTCTATTTCTAAAATGTTGAGTTTTAAAAATCAACAATCTATGGTTTACAAGAGAGACATTTAAGTCAGAAGGCGTATGTATAATAATAGTGAATCATACTCATGGGAAAATTTTAAAAATAGGAATTACCATCATGCTAGCAGATGAAAGTAATTGTGAAATTAAAGCAGCACTGAGATACACATTAAGGTCACCATGAAAGGTAAAAGATACATGAAGCAGTAAAGCCTTGTAGTGATACTGAATGCACACGTCTTAAACATGTACCAGGAAAGTGCGTAATAGAAAAACTAGCAGAAATGCAAGAAATACATGTAGATCTCTCTCCCTCTCTTAAAAAGGTACCAATGAGAAGTTATGGGAAAGAAATGGGAATGCTAACAAAATGAGGTGGGGAGGGGGAGAGGAATGGATGGAAAATGGGATTGGAAGGTCTGAGTACAGAATAATGAGGGAAGAATTTATGGATACATTGTGTGAATCTAAAGGTAGCACATAAGAGTACTCTCCAGGGCTTCCCTGGTGGCGCAGTGGTTGAGAGTCCGCCTGCCAATGCAGGGGACACGGGATCGTGCCCCGGTCCAGGAAGATCCCACATGCCACGGAGCGGCTGGGCCCGTGAGCCATGGCCACTGAGCCTGCGCGTCCAGAGCCTGTGCTCCACAACAGGAGAGGCCACAACAGTGAGAGACCCGCGTACTGCAAAAAAAAAAAAAGAGTACTCTCTAGTAAATAAATGGAAAAAATTCATCTTGCTCTTGAACATAAAAGGTATTCTTAGCAATTACAAAAACATAGAGGGAATTCCCTGGCAGTCCAGTGGTTGGGACTCAGTGCTTTCACTGCTGTGGCCCGGGGTTCAATCCCTGGTTGGGGGACTAAGATCCTGCAAGCTGCGAGGCGTGACCAAACAAAACAAAAAGGTAGAAAGTCCATATATCACATTATCCCAACTACATATAATAATCTTGAAAGGAACATGAACAGATTTAGAAAAGTGCTGAGCTACTTGAAAATTTTGAAGTGCTCCCTTAAAGAAGTTCTAAGTTGGGGATGAATTCCTGCATATAATAACAAAAAACAGTTTTTTCAACAAACATAAAGCTCACCATCATAAAAATTGTTATAAATATATTTTGACAGTATCTGTGTAACGAGTAGACAGTTTATAGACAAGGAAAAACATAAAATGACACGAATGAGTGCACGTCTATTATGACTTAATGAAATACAAATTAACATTTGTTAGGGTTTCGTTATATACCTGTTAAACTAAAAAAATAAAATAAAATAAAATGAGAAAACCCAACGTTCGTAGGTTTTTGCAACACTAGGCTCAGTGCTGGAGAGATGGAAAAGAAAAATAATCATCCCTGACCTCATGGAACCCATTAATACTGAAATGGCTGCGGCAATGGTGGCATAGTAATGGTGGAGTGCTTTTAAGCAGAGTCATAAGGTGTTTAAAGAACCCCTGAGAGTCAGTTACTATAAATGATTAGTTTGTTAGTACAAGAGCTAACAGAGAAATGTGTAGAATATAAGTGGTGTTTTGTTTCAGTCACCATGGTATCCCCAATACCTGGCGACCAGTGCCTCTCACAGAGCAGGTCCTCAATAAATATTTGTTGAATGAATGAAATGTGCATATGGAATTACAGCAAAAAATTAAAACACAATTCTTGTATTATATACTCTGTACATATGATATGCAAAGATTTCTATGTTCATTTTAAAAGCTCAAAAGGATTTTGCAGTGATATAAGTATAGCATGTTTCCCTTCTCTGTCAAGATACTTAGCTTCATAAGTTCTATGCATTTTAATTGAAGTATAGTTAATTTACAATGTTGTGTTAGTTTCAAGTGTACAGCAAAGTGATTCGGTTATACAAATATACATATATATATATATGTATGTGTAGATATGTACATATATACTTTTTCAGATTCTTTTCCATTATAGGTTATTATAAGATATTGAGTATAGTTCCCTGTGCTAGTGCTATACAGTAGGTCCTTGTTGTTTACCTATTTTATGTATATTAGTGTGTACATGTTAATTCCAAACTCCTGATTTATCTCCCCCGCTTAATTTTTTAATTAAAAACATTATTCACACATACCCATTCCACCACCCATATGTTCCTGCCCTGTGTGTGCCATATATTCCAATCTGTTTTGGAACCTTATGGGTCTAGATTTATGAATCTAGATTACTTGTTCTCAGCCCTGGTTGACATTAGAATCACCTGGAGCTTTAAGCCCTCCCCATGCCTGGCTGCACCCTCTTGACAAGCCCACTAACTCATCTGAGGGTGATACCCAGGCATTGCTGATTCCTACTTTCAGCCCACTTAGGCAGCAAAACTTTATATTTTCATTAAGTAAAATGTGTTCAATCTTTCTCAGAAATAACCCTTTAAGCTGTCTTCATGGAATCCTGAGTTCAAAAATAGCCTTCTAGTATTGTTAAGAAAAAGTACCTAAACTGGGTGTGCTATAGTGACAAATGCAAGCACGAGGCCGACGTCCCTTTGTTCCACCCCCCACCCCAAATTCTAATATGCAGGGCAAAGAGACTAGGTGAGCCTTGATAGCTTCTGACCTTCTAGTAAGAGAGGGTTATTGGAGGTTGACTTACCAGGCTACATTCACCTTGAAGGGAGACAAGTCAGATGGGCTAGAAGTTCTGCTAGAAGTTCTCACAGAGGCCAGAGTGAGACACCAACGAGGAGGGAGAAAGACGTGGGTGGGGGATACGCCCTGATAATTGACCTCAAGCCTATTCAGTCCAGGTGATAAAAAGGAGCCTGAAGGTAGAGGTCTGGGATTGCTGTTCATTTCTGAAGAGGCAAAGGAATCTGGCCACCCAGATTCTAGGCTGTGCATCTCTTGTCAGTGGGTGGAACTCCACATGTGTGAGCTGTGCTTTGATCCTGGGGTCTGGGGAAGATTCTCTGGGACTGAGGAAGACAATGGCACCCACTCAACATGTTCCCTGAACTCTGTGCTACCCCCAAATCGTTTCCCAGCACCTGACTCTCTGCTCCTGGGCTTGTATCTCCAGGACTGGGGTTAGGTCTGCTTGCTTTCCCTCTCCACCTCTCCTACCCGTCCAAAGTCTGGCAGGGTTCATGGGTCTGACTTGGAGCTTGGCAGGAGTTCCCTGTAAACTGAGAACTGCAGGGGTCATGTGTTGCCTTGAAACTAAGGTAGGACTTGGGATTAAAAGGCCTCCACTGGGACCAGTGACAGACCAGCGCTTAAAGAGCTGATTGGTAACTCTCTCCTTTCCCCTCCTCCAGGCTGCCCATTCTCCAGGGAGGAACATTTGCTTTTCTGGCACCCTCCCTGGCCATGCTGTCCCTTCCCACCTGGAAGTGCCCCATGTGGACACTCAATGCCAGCCTGGTGAACACCAGCTCCCCTGAATTCACTGAGGAATGGCAGAAGAGGATCCGAGAGGTATTGGGGTGAGGGGAATGGGGTGAGAGGAATGGAGTGGTCCTCAACAGGGGCTCCTGAGTTGATTCATTTGTTCAACATTCATTGTTCAACTCATTGCTGAGCAAGATTCCAGGCTTTAAGATACTTGGCCCTTGCTTAATTCAGTTTTATCATCCAGGGAAAGAAATTAGTGGCCTTGAAGCAGGCTCTGAAGTTTGGCCATGCTCCAGGTTGGCTTATCTAAACAATAGATAAGGAAGCCAGCACACAGGATTCTTGGCAGAGAGCATAGCCATACCCTCAGGGACAGTAGACCTGCTAGCATCCAGACCCCAACATCCTCACCTGACCTCCTACGTGAGGGGTCAAGGACGGCCCATGGGTGGGGTACTGTATGAGAGAGTGAAGGTCACTTGAGATTTCTAGGAAGCCCAACCAGCTTCCTCCCAGCTTGACCTTAAATATGTAGGCCTGGAGTGAGGCTAAGGACCACCTCCTCTGGAGCAGGGACAGTTACACAAGCACCGTATGGTACTGGGTTTCCAATACAAGGTAGTTTGCTCAGGCATGAATCCAGCTTTCACTTAATGTCTTCAGCACTAACTCACTAGAACTGGACCAAGGACATTCCTGAACTCAGGGCTATGGACCTAGAGCAGAGTTTGTTCCCTAGATATCCTTAGGAGTTAAGCTAGGAAGCCTTAGCCCAGCCAGGGTCCATCCTGCACCCCACCCAGTCCATGTTCAGCATCCTCACAGCCTCATGGCTGCAATAAGGGTCACATCTGCTGTATATGAAAGATAAAGAAAGAGGGAAGACAGAGGAAACATGGTAACAAGATTCCTATTCTTACCCAGATTTGACCAATGAGAAGGAGTAGAATTGACAAAACACTCCAGTGGGGGTGAGGGCTGGGGCGGAAGGACAATGGTGTAAGTCCTAAACTGATTCCAAATACCTGAGAACCAGGAGTGCTGATGTCTGGGGGCAGGAGAAGGTGGATGACTCAGCTCAAGCAGAGCAAATTAGCTCTTCTGCTTTATGTGAGGCCCTCAAAGGATTGGATGGCACTCACCCACATTGGGTAGGGCCGTCTGCTTCCTTCAGTTCACACCAATTCAAATGCTAACCTCTTCTGGAAACATCCTCACAGACACACCCAGAAAAAATGTTTTGTCAGCTATCTGGGCATCCCTCAGCCCAGTCAAGTTGACACATAAAATTCACCATCACTGTATGTTATGTGTATGTTCAACTTTAGTAAACACTAGCAAATACATTTGCAAAGTGTATGTTCCAATTTACACTCCCACCAGCAGCATGTGTGAGTTCCATTTACTCCAAATTCTCACCAACATTTTCTCTTTTTCATTTTAGCTGCTCTGCTCAGTGTATGATGGTAAACTTGTATCATTCTTTTATGATGTTATTGAATGATTTAGAGTTAACTATAAATGTCTGTCCTCATCTTGTAGGTCTATTTGACCACCTGGGGTCATTTTTGTTCCTATGCTTACCACATTAGCTGGTGACTAGAGGTCAATATCCCAATATAGACTTCGTTATTTATCATTATTTCCATGACTTTCATTGAGTATCATGTAAATGACCTATGAATTAGTCCATGACCCATTTTAAAGTTCAAACAACAGACCGTGTCCTAAATATGCCAGCATCATAGTAGCTTTGGCTACTTTCACAGTGTTCATTCCTCATTGTCCATCCAGTTCAGCACAGTATACTCTGGGTCTAGTTTTATTAGATGTGTTTCAGTTTGGTAGAATCAACTCTGATGCCAGCATCCCTCATTCCAGATTGAAGACGTATCTAGAAATATGGCTAAGAAATCATTTTCTTATTTCCAATATTTTAAATGCAACGGGCAAAAGTAGCATTATTCAATACCATAATTTGGTAACTCCAGTTCTTCCTGCCGCCATCTTTCTTTCTGCCCACTGTGAGCCTTTCTTAACCCATTTCCTTGCTCCTGTTGGAAGAGGAGGTGCTGAGTCCTTCTCTGCTAGCCTTTAAATAGTGGGCAGGAAAAGTAACACTGTTAAACCCTCCTTGTGTGTCCTTCCCCAGCGTACTTTCAAATGATTTAATAAGTATATTGTCACGGTAGCCTCTCCACTGGGTAGGATGCATCCTGAAAAACACCACACTTTCCAGTCCGGCCCATAAATACCATCAGAATTCCAACAAGTCAAATTAAATTGATTCTTATTATTCCTATCTTAGGGAACACAACCAAATCCCTAGTCCTGGGAAAATAGGGTTTCTTTACCTTCTCATTTCCCAATCTGTCCGTTGCAAACTGCTCCACTAGTGACTCAGTTTAGTGCCCCACTTGTAGCTTGATCTTACACTATCCTGCCCTGCAAAGCCAGCCCTTCGTGCCTTTGTCACCCACATTTTGTTGCTTCAAGCACACGTTCTAATTTTGCAATAATTTCACTCCTTTGGAAAGTGACATGAAATATGAAAAGATCACTTGATACTGTATTTCTTGGTCCATTCCTGTCTTGTTCATGCTGTGAAAAGTGATCCTTGAGCTGTTTGATATATAAGTTGATCTTCATGCTGGTGGGCAATCTGAGTTGCTAGTCTCTTTATTGTAGCCTGCGCCAGGGCTTCAGTGGCAGGATAGGCAAAGCTCAAACCAGAAACACTGTCCATACCAGTTTAAAAAAATGTTAAAACCTCCCATGCTCTGTGGACTGTCCAGTACAGGCAGCCTGTCAGTTCTGTGATGGGCCATTTATCCTCATATTCTCCCACCAGAGGCACCTGTGCCCAGCGCTGTTGGCAATCTGGATCATCCTGGGCAACGCAGGTGACTTCAGAGAGAGATGGAGATTATGTAGTTTGTGAGCCCGCATATGCATGGCTTGTGGCCCGAGGTGTCATCTTGTGGGCCCTAATGACTACATTCAAAATCTTACTTCCCTCCTCTTTTTAAGACATAGGGGCATCTACATGAACCACCAGTATTTGAGATTTGACTATAAAGTCCTTTCCCATAAAAGGTGAAATTTCAGTAGCGCCTCTATGATGCACTTGCCAGACCAAACTGCTAGTCCATTGGCCACAGCCCGAGAACCTATAGAATTCTAAAGGGATGACTCTGGGGGTTTATGTGTGTACTGTCAGTCACATCACACACAGCTTGGTCCTTTGGCTGGACTTAGACTTGCCTTCCTTCCTCCATCAAGGTCCTTCTGTTGCAATGTTACACTCTTTCAGTCTCAGTCTTTCTCAGGTGGGTGAGCAGCACCTTTAGCAAGACTCCAAGCAGTGCTTTTTTTTTTTAATCAATTTATTTATTTATTTAAGGCTGCATTGGATCTTCGTTGCTACAGGCAGGCTTTCTCTGGTTGCGGTGAGCAGGGGCTACCCTTCGTTGTGGTGTGCAGGCTTCTCATTGCCGTGACTTCTCTTGTTGTGGAGCACAGGCTCTAGGTGCATGGGCTTCAGTAGTTTGGCATGTGGACTCAGTAATTGTGGCTCATGGACTCTAGAACTCAGGCTTAGTAGTTGTGGCGCACGGGCTTAGTTGCTCCGTGGCACGTGGGATCTTCCCAGACCAGGGCTTGAACCCGTGTCCCCTGCATTGGCAGGCAGATTCTTAACCACTGTGCCACCAGGGAAGTCCCCCCAAGCAGTGCTTTTTGAATTCAAAGATCCACATAGTGGGATCCAAGGCTCTGTTGTTAGAGATAGATTATCTCGTGAGGTAGTGTCCACCCAGGGGAGGGGGACTGTCACTTACTCATGGATCCTATGAACGCCTCCTTGTGTAACTGCCTTTTCTTTTCCTGAATATAACGATTTCCCTTTAATTAGCACATTCTGTTGATGATCCCCTGCCTTATTTGAATGTCTTTCTGACGTCACTCAAGATACCATTGGGATCTCTGATCTTGGAGTTATTTGGTGCCATTCAGTAGTGCTCTAATTCCACATAGTGCCCAGTAGCAGACGAGTTAGGAATGGTCCTTCAGAGGGAGAGTAGTTGAGTAGCTGCTCTGGGCCGCCTCCACACCAAATGCCCCACGCAGAGCTGAAGCGCCAGGCATCTGCCAGGGTCAGTCCTCATTCAGCATGGACAGAACCACTGACGCTTCTGGTATCTCAGGAGCACTGTGCTGGTCAGGACACCACTCTGAGACCAGTCTGAGCCATAACTTGTGAATTTCAGCCAGAACCTTCTGCTGTTCTTCCCTTTCAAAAACAGCCTTTCTGCATGTGGCCGTGCTCTGGTATACAGTCCAACAGTGCACCCAGATGTGGATGTACTTCAATGACCTATCAAGTTCTTGTGCTTCCTTGTTTTCTCAAGGTGGACCCAGAGTTAACAGAGGTTTTTAATGTTTAAAGAACTTTTCCATGTAGTTCCAGATATACCTAAGGATTTCATTTATACCTAAGGATTTAGATATACCTAAGGATTTCATTTGTCAAGCGGGTGGGCCCTGGATTTTTGCCAGGTCCGTTGGCCAGTCTTCAAATGCTGTGTGTTGTACCACCTTTTCCAAAGCAGGATGTATTTCTTCTTCAGTGCAGCCTAGTTTTATTATATCATCGATAACATGAATCACAAAATACATGTGGTCTGAGGTTTTGGGGGGTTTTGTTTCTGCTGTCCCCCAGGGAGCCAATACTTGGCTTTCGTAAATCCAAATTAAAACTAAGCAAAGAATAAGAAGTGGATTTTGTCAGCGAAAATTTAATTAACTATCAAGTTAAGAAGAAAAAATTGGAATTTTATTCGAGCCAAGCTGAGGATTATAAACCCAGGAAGCAGATTCTCAGGAAGCTCTGGGAACCCTTCCACCTGTTAGAAGTTGAAGGCACAGTCATATACATTTTTGAGACAAAGGATCGAACATCAAAATGACACACTGATACTTTACGTAAAGTCCACCAAGGATACATTGTCCAGATAAGCAGGTACAAAGCGAGCAGCCAGTCACCATGACCCCCTACAGAGCTGGGAGGGAACGCTGTTCTTTTAAGAAATTACATTGCTAGCATCAGAAGAAAGAAAAACAATTGATCTTTACGGTTGAGCAGGCCCCTTATCTTTGAGGAGCTCTGGTTAATGTGTAATGCAGGTTCACACTGCACAGTAGGGAGGGCGGAGGCCCAAACAAACACACAGAGAGAACTTTGTGTAATTTTTTTACTTGTCCTGCCTTAAAATATAAGTTTTATTTCATCAGTTTCCTTACCCTGCTCTGCTAGATGCCAGGGGCAGGATTTCCCTTCCACTTAGACCTACTGAGAACTGTAATTTTTTGTGCAGGAATCTCTTGCCTTTGTGCTATCCAAGAGGAAAGATCTGACAAGTTAATTCGTCTCTTCTCCTACCTAAGCACTCTGCTGCTCGAATTCTTCCTGTGTTCTCATGACCTGTCTGCCTCAACACTGCAGTGGTCTGAAGCAGTTACTTTGTGTTTTGAGGACACAGTATTAGTAGTGAGAGAGAATGTTGAGGGATGTTTGGGTCATGCTGTGCCTGCACTGAGCACAGGATCCCAAGTTACAGACACAACCATGTTTTTTAAATACATTTACCATTTATTTTTGTGCTTGTGAGTCCTCTAAAGCAGGAGTCAGTAAACTGTTGCTCTTGGACCACATCCAGCCTGTAATCTGTTCTTTACTGCCCACCAATTAAGAGTGGTTTTTACATTTTAAAAAGTTGTTTAAAATTTAAAAAAGAATGTGACAGAAACTGTATGTGGCCCACAAAACCTAAAATGTTAACTATCTGGCTTTTTACAGAAAAAGTTTGCCAACCCCTGCTCTAAAGCACAGGCCCCAGGGTGGGAGTTCTCTTGCCCAGACCTAAGACTGTATCCTCCACTATTTTTTTCCCACATTGCCTTCAAGTGTCCAACAGTGAGTACAAACCCAGAGTCTTATTTGTGGTATTTTAGCTCCATCTACTGGTCCAGTGTTTTTCACCAGTGCTGTAAACAAGGGAAAATTCTTTCAAGTTTCAATCTTCTTTTATTAATTGATGGATTGGTTTAATTCACTGGGCCAGCCTATTGGAATTTAAGGTAGAGTTTCCATGTTTCACTAAGTTAAATTTGTTCACACACATCTCAAGTCTTGAAGCCACCAGTGGTTAGCAGTCCAACTCTACATCACGATACTAGCCACAAATGAAAGTGAGGCAAATATAGGACCAATAGGGGTGTCATTACTTTCTGGGAGATAAGAAGCAATAAAGAGGACAAGTAAGTAATGATTATATTTTTAGAAAGTGGTGGTAGCAGAAAATGTAGAGAACTCTGGGAAGAGATGGCAAGCTCAGTTTTCAACACATTAGACCAACTTAAACTTCACCTTCCAGTATTATGGTGGTTTTAAATTTTTTATATCCTTGTGTATGCTTATGTATACGTGAAATGAATGACAGCAATGATAAAAAGGCTAGGTCGGAGAAATTAGGATTGCTTTGTTACTATAAAGTACTCACGCCACTCATGATGTGGTATAGTGTTATTTGAAAGTGAACTTGGGAGAATTCCCGGGTGGTCCAGTGGTTAGGACTGCACTTTTACTGCCAAGGCCATGGGTTTGATCCCTGGTTTGGGAACTAAGATCTGCAAGCCCTGTGGTGTGACAAGAAAAAAAAAGGGGGGGGGACTTGGATTAGCTGTAAATGTACATTGCAAACTCTAAAGGAAAAAAAAAAGGATAATGGTTATGCTAAGAAAGGAGAGGGGAAAAAAAGCTCAGTTAAAACCACAAAAGGAAGAAAACCAGTAGAAGACAAAAACAAATGAAGAACAAGGGCAACAAATAGAAAATAGTAATGGTTATGGTGGATATTAATCCAACTATATCAATAATCACTTTGAACGTCATTGGTCTAAAGGCACAGAGATTGTCAGAGTGGATCAAAACACAAGACCCAACTGTATGTTGTCCAGAAGAAACCGGCTTTAAATATAAAGACACATGTAGATTAAAAGTAAATGGATGGAGAAGAATATACCACGTTAACACTGATCAAAGGAAAGCAGGAGTCAGACTTCTTTCTTTTCAGGAAGAGCAGACTTCAAAGCAAGGAACATTTTCAGGGGTAACATGAATAACATCCATATTAGCAAAGTAGAAAAGGAGAAGTAAAGTAAAACTCAATCAGTCCAATAGATCAGGGGTTGGCAAACTACAGCCCGTGAGCCAAATCTGGCTAGTTGCCTGTTTTCTGTTTGTTTGTTTGTTTTTTTATAGCCCGCAAGCTAAAAATGGTTTTATATTTTAAATGGTTGAAAAAAAATCAAAAGAAGAATAATATTTTATGACATGTCAAAATTGTACGAAATCCAAGAATAATATTTTATGACATGTCAAAATTGTAGGAAATTCAAATTTCAGTGCCTATCAGTGGAGTTTTATTAGAACACAGTCAAGCTCATTTGTTTCCATCTTGCCTGGAAAAGTTTCAGCTGAGCCTGTACGGTCCACAGAGCCTCAACTATTCACTCTCTGATCCTTTACAGAAAAACCTTTGCCAACCTCTGCAATAGAAAGTAGGAAAACAGAGACAAATAAATCAGCAAGATGTTCAATACATAACTGGGTGATGCCAGTATTACGAGTCATCACATTATCACTGTGATCAATAGATAATCTTGAAATCTACTTCCTGAAAAACTTCACATTAGGTGAAAATGTCCAACAGACAGTTGGAAATAGAGGACTGGAGAGAGGAGTGAGGTCCGAGCTCACCTTCCCTCAGTTCCTCTGGCGTCCAGCTTTGCCCCTGCACTGCCTCTGAAGGTACCACCGATCTGGGTGGCCCCGCCACAGGCTCCCAGGTGCTGAGCCCCATGCTTCCTCTTCAGCTGCAGGGAGCCATCATGGTTGCTTCCTGTGTCCAGATGCTGGTGGGCTTCTCAGGCCTCATTGGCTTCCTCATGCGCTTCATCGGCCCCTTGACCATTGCTCCGACCATCTCCCTGGTGGCCCTGCCTCTCTTCGATTCTGCGGGCAATGACGCCGGGATCCACTGGGGGATTGCTGCCATGTAAGCACCCTCTGGGGAAGGTGGGCCATCTTTGGAGGAAGATTACCCAGTAAGAAGAGTGAGTCCTGGATATTGGCAAACTCTGGTGGTTTACAAATACTTTCACAAACATCATGATACCTTAAAAGCAGTGAAATGGCTACTTAGAATATATTATTACTATTTCTTATGTTGTCAGTCCTCACAGACAATAAGTTCATCACAGGCAGGGTATAAACATACTTAGCGTAGGGTTCACAGACAGCTGATGCTACCCGTCCCCTGCCTCCTAGGTTTTCACTGAGCAAATATTTGTAAACCTCCAGCACCTGGGAAGAGTGCAAAGACATGGCCCCAGCTCTCAAGCATTTTGTAGCGTAGTAGAGGGATAAGACTTGTGTCCAAGTGCCTGTGACACCAGGAGACAGTGATGAGAGTCACAGTGTGCTGGCTGGTTCAGGGGATGGGGTGGTGACAGCCAGCTTGCCGAGGGTGGGGGGTGGTGTCAGGAAGGCTTCCCAGAAAAAGAGGCCTTCAGCATTTAAACAGAGCTTTGAAGGGACTTGGGCAGGACCCTGGACACGCTCATTCACTCTGTCTGTTGTGGTCTGACCGCAAGGACCTGCAGGACCACCTGGGAGAGAAGGTGGCCTGACTCTGGCCTCACTGGCTTCAGTCTGGATCTGTGCAGCTGCCATGCTTATTTCTCAGGCCCCTGCCCACTGTTCCTCTTCAGCCACCAGCAGCCTCTGAAAGGGGCCTGCCCACCTTTTCAGAACTGGCAGGATGCTGCCTACACTGCAGAGCAGGGCCTAGATGGGGACCCTCCCAGCACAGCCACTGCCCCATAGTCCCAGAGACACGTGATGGCACGCCTTCCCGGACCGTCGCTCTCGTGATGAGCCCAAGTTTGCCAGGTTGGGTGTGGTTTGTTTCTGTTTCAGGACCATCTTCCTCATCGTGCTGTTTTCTCAGTACCTGAAAAACATCGCGGTGCCTGTGCCTGTTTACGGAAGAGAGAAGAAGTGTCACACCTCTAAGTTCTACCTGTTTCAGGTCTTCCCTGTAAGAAGTGCTCCCCACCCTCTGCCATTCTTAGTTGCCTCACCTGGACAGTGAGGGACAGCCTGTTGCTCTCCCAGATGGCCCCCAAGTCAAATGCTCTCCACCTGCAGCGGCCTCTCCTCCTGAGCCTCCCTTAATTGCCCCTTGGGTGGTGGGAGCCTTGGTGTAATGCCATCCCAGATCTTCCCTCATTGCTTCTCTCCCAGGAGTAGAGAACTCGCCCCAGGTTGCTGCCCTGGGCACTGCTGTGGGACAGTCTTCTCGTGTCCCTGGGCCGTCCTCATAGCATGGCACTGGGGGAGACAGCCAGGCTCACCGCTAACGGTGCAAAACTAAGGGCCAAGTTGCTTAGATCAGGTTCTTTCTCATTGGCTCCTGGATAATTCAGATCCTGCTGACAATGATGGTGTCTCCTTTTTCAGAGCCTTCTCTGTTGAATTTGCTCCACTCTGTCAAGTAGGTGCCATTGCCAACCACACAAATGTGTTTTCAGGTTCAATTTATCTGTGAAATACATTCTGCATTATAAAAAGTTACTTCCACATAGTGATCTCATTGATCCCTCAGCAATCCTGTAGGCTAATGGTTCAAAAGTTCGGTATGCATAAGAATCACCTGGGGACATTGCTAAAAATGCCGATGTCAGGGGTTCTACCATCAGAGATTAAAAGTCAGTATATCTGAGGACCTCACGGTATATCTGAGCCTCAGGCTCTGCAGAGCAATGGTTGTAATTCCATTGTACAGATGAGGACACTGAGGCTCAGGGAATTTGATCCAGGGTCATGGGACCAGCAAGCAATAGAAAGGGAGACTGCAATCCTTCTGACCCAGGCTGTGTCCACTTTCCTAGACATTTCTGCCTCTACTTGACACAAGGTCTCCCCACAGTTTAGTTTCTCTATTCCTGTAATGTGTTCATTATCCACTGACACAGCGGATTCCTGTTGTCACTGGAAGGGTTTGTAGCCCAACACTTCCTCATCTCAAAGAGCTTTCCCGACTCCCTCCTTCGCCCACCCTCTCTGGGAGGTGTGGGCAGGTGCAGGGGTGGGGCCCAGTGTGAAGGGCGCCTCCCTCCCTCCGGCAGGTGTTGCTGGCGCTCTGCATCTCGTGGCTGCTGTGCTTCGTGCTCACAGTCACCGACGCCCTCCCCTCGGCACCTGCAGCCTACGGGTACCTGGCCCGCACAGACACCAAAGGCGACGTCCTGAGCCAGGCTCCTTGGTTTCGCTTCCCTTACCCAGGTAACGAGACGCCGACGACTCCGGGGCCCATCTTGCCTGGGGCATATGCTTCCCAGGACTGCCCGTGAGGCTCAGGCACCAGAGGGGGAAGTGAGTAGAGCCGGGACGGGATCTCCTCCAAGGGATCTGGCAAGGAGGGACAGGCCACACGGAGTCCATATGAGACCCCTAAGAGAGGAAGGAGACCCTTGGGTGGTCCTAAGAATGCTTTGGGGGTGGTAGACCAAAGGTTCCCTCTCCCAGACCTACCTCCTTCCTGGCCCGCATGCCTCATCCCCTTCTCCACATTGCTCAGGCCCCATCCACTGGGGGTGGGGAAAGCACAGAGGGATCCTGACCTCTTAGCCAACCTTTGGGTCTCCTTGTGGAACTGGTGGATCCCACACAAGGGAGGCTTGGGACTGAATTAGAACATTTCTGGGTTGCTGGTCAAGGGCATCTCCTTTCCCTGCAGTTCTTGGCTCAGGGTGTGAGAATAATCACGTTCCAGTTGTAGGGGTGAGGAGGTCCTGGCCTCATGGACTGGGGAGCCAGGACCTCCCTGAGTAAGAATCCTGGAAGCCTTCAAAAGGCTTCAAGGCCTTCCCGGAAAGAGGCCCGGTTTCTGGTTCTTTTTGTGCACTGTGACCTCAAGGTCAGGGCCTCTGACCTACCCTCAGGGAGGCACGGGAGGGCAGGAGCCTGAGACAAAGCTTCAGGACAGCTGTTGGGTTGGAAGACATGTTGCCTGGTCTTTAAAGCCTTCCGGAGAACCCTCCGGCAAGGGAATTATTTGGGGTCCAGCAGCCTGTTATCTTCCGGATGAACATTCCCTCTGCGCTGCAATTTCAGGGCAGTGGGGCCTCCCCACCATCAGCCCGGCTGGGGTCTTTGGGATCGTCGCGGGGGTGATCTCCTCAATGGTGGAGTCAGTAGGCGATTATTATGCCTGTGCCCGCCTGGTGGGGGCACCACCCCCTCCGAAGCACGCCATCAACCGAGGCATCGGCATCGAGGGCCTGGGCTGCCTGCTGGCAGGGGCCTGGGGTACGGGGAACGGCACCACCTCCTACAGCGAGAATGTTGGCGCTCTGGGCATCACCAGGGTAAGGCTGCTGACAGTGGCCCCGGGGGTGGGGTGGTGGGTGGGCAGCCTGGGTACCTGAATCTGTCATCAGTGTCTTAGCCTCTTACTGTTGCTGCAACAAATTATCACAAAGTTGATGGCTTCCGACAGCCCAGATGTATTATTTTACTGATCTGGAAGTCAGAACTCCAGTGCGGGTCTCACAGGGCTACAGTAAAGGGATTGGCAGGGCCGTGTTCCTTTCTGGAGGTTACAGGGGAGAATCCATTTCCTTGCTTTTTCCATCATCTAGAGGCTGCCCACATTCCTTGGCTATGGCCCCTTTCCTCCATCTTTAAAGCCAGCAACATGGCGTCTCTCTGACCTTTCCTCCTTAGTCACGTCTCCCTTTGACCACAGCTGGGAAAGATTACCTGCTTATAAGGATGCATGTAATTAGGCTGGGCCCACCTGGGTAACTCAGGCTACTCCGTCCATCTCAAAATCCTTAATCACATTGCAAAGTCCTTTTGCCATTAAGGTAACGTATTCACAGGTTTGGGCATGGACATCTTTGAGGAGCCTTTATTTTGCTTACTATACTTGACCTTCTTGGTTGTGGTCACCTCCACCTGAATGTCCCAAGGGTACCTCACACTCAGAATGGCCTATATTATGCTCAGTCCATGCCCCCATCCTTACTTCTTCTCCCGTAAACCTTGTCTTCGTGAATTCACCCAGTCATCCTTAACTTCTCTCTGTTGTGTGCTTCTCACAGTGGATTCTGTTTTCTCAGTATGCCTGCTGCCCTCCTGTCCTCTTGTCTCCATTCCCAGTATCACAGCTTTATCATCTCCCACCTGGACATGGCAGTATCCCTAACTGTCTCTTCCCAGGATCTTGCCCATCTCTAATCTAGCTACCACATGGCTGCCCAAGGATCTTGCTAGAACCCAATTAAATTAGTCCCTGCTTAAAATCTCTTCCAGGCTCCCATTTTCCACAGGAAAGCCTCATAAGGTCAGCAAGAATTCTTCACGATGGTGCTTTCTTCTTCTTACTATTATTTTTTGGCTGCGTTGGGTCTTTGTTGCTGCGCGTGGGCTTTCTCTAGTTGTGGCGAGCGGGGGCTGCTCTTCGCTGCGGTGCGCGGGCTTCTCATTGCGGTGGCTTCTCCTTGCGGAGCACGGGCTGTAGGCATGCAGGCTTCAGTAGTTGTGGCTCACGGGCTCTAGAGCGCAGGCTCAGTAGTTGTGGCGCACGGGCTTAGTTGCTCCGTGGCATGTGGGATCTTCCCAGACCAGGGATGGAACTCGTGTCCCCTGCATTGGCAGGTGGATTCTTAACCACTGCACCACCAGGGAAGTCCCCAAGATGGTGCTTTCTAAGGTGACTTAGAAAAGAATCTTATTACGATGTTGCTTTCCTGTATGCTTCAGTGCATAGGTACAGTGTTTCCCAGCACAAGTGAAGTGAGCTTTGGAAAGTACTCACTTTCCTCCACCCACATCCCCACCCTGTATTTTCTGATAGCTCTCTTGGACCTATCTACCTCTGTACCCTGCATGGCCTCTGGCCCATAGTGAGAGTTAAAATCTGTGAGCAAACAGCAGAGCCAGCACCCAACCCTACGGCAAGTTCTATGTGCTTGGACACTGTGGACTCTTTGACATTTCCCCAAAGTTTCAAGACCTTCGGTGCAAGTGAGAGGAACATTTTTTCACGTGAGGGCCACTGACCCACACAGAAATGTGGGAATGGCCTGTGTAAGTATAAAGCAGCAAATATTTTTCTTGCTGAAGGGAAGATATCTCACGCAGAACAGAAAATTATATTAAATAAACAGAACAAAAAATTTTTTGATGTATCATTTCTAAATTAAGACCCTTTACAGGAGAGGGAAAGAGCAGGCAAGAAAAGATACACAGACACCAAACAGGCTACAAATCCAGCAGACCCATTAACTCTGGTTTGGACTCACACCTCCCCCTGTGGCCCCGTGTTGCATCTGCATTCATGGGCTCTGACCTATTCTTGGTTCTCCCCTGGTCAGTCCAGAGAAATCAGGCTGAAGGCCAAAGATCTCCCATCACTTTTCTAGGGTGTCATGGCTCCCAGCCCAGATGTGAATCCTGAGACCAAAAGATGCCCAGGGCTGCATGATAAATTCCGTGGTAGTAGGATTGGGGGTGACCTGCCATCTTTATGAGACCACTGTTATATGCAAAGGGTATTGGTTGAACCTGACAAGTTGATCTATTGTGCTTAGAAGCATGCCTTTGTTCCCACAAAGGCACGGTTCATTGCTAGGGTTGTAAACAAAAAAAGTTATTTTGATGTGGTTAATTCCTATCACTTGTCTTCTAATGAAGACAGTTAAATAAATTAGCTCTTAAACTGGAAAGAAAAATAAGCAAAGGCCGAATCTGCTACTTTATTGCTGCATTAACGGACTTCAAGTTGTTGACACTAGAGTATCTTAAAAAAATGCTTAAATTGTGGTAAAAGACACATAACATAAAATCTACCATCTTAATTATTTTTGTGTACAGTTCAGTAGTATTCAGTGTATTCACATTGCTGTGCAACAGATCTCCAGAACTTTTTCATCTTGCAAAACTGAAACTACACTAGAGTATCTTTTTTTTATTTTATTTTTTTAACATCTTTATTAGAGTATAATTGCCTTACAATGGTGTGTTAGTTTCTGCTTTATAACAAAGTGAATCAGTTATACATATACATATGTCCCCATATCTCTTCCCTATTGCAAGATCTGTATTTTTTTTTTTACATCTTTATTGGAGTATAATTGCTTTACAATGGTGTGTTAGTTTCTGCTTTAAAGTGAATCAGTTATACATATGTTCCCATATCTCTTCCCTCTTGTGTCTCCCTCCCTCCCACCCTCCCTATCCCACCCCTCCAGGCAGTCACAAAGCACCGAGCCGATCTCCCTGTGCTATGCGGCTGCTTCCCACTAGCTATCTACCTTACGTTTGGTAGTGTATATATGTCCATGCCTCTCTCGCTTTGTCACAGCTTACCCTTCCCCCTCCCCATATCCTCAAGTCCATTCTCTAGTAGGTCTGTGTCTTTATTCCTGTCTTACCCCTAGGTTCTTCATGACATTTTTTTTTCTTAAATTCCATATATATGTGTTAGCATACGATATTTGTCTTTCTCTTTCTGACTTACTTCACTCTGTATGACAGACTCTAGGTCTATCCACCTCAGCCACTATGGAGAACAGTATGGAGGTTCCTTAAAAAACTACAAATAGAACTACCATATGACCCAGCAATCCCACTACTGGGCATATACCCTGAGAAAACCATAATTCAAAGAGGGTCATGTACCAAAATGTTCATTGCAGCTCTATTTACAATAGCCCAGAGATGGAAACAACCTAAGTGTCCATCATCGGATGAATGGATAAAGAAGATGTGGCACATATATACAATGGAATATTACTCAGCCATAAAAAGAAACGAAATTGAGCTATTTGTAATGAGGTGGATAGACCTAGAGTCTGTCACATAGAGTATCTTTTAAGGACTGGGAGTAGAAACAAATGCATGAGAAGAGGTCCAAGAACTACCTAAACACATTCATTGATAATAGACTTATGATGGGATATTCAGACATTTGCAGCACAACTCCAACTTTTGAGGATGAGGCTGAATGCTTCCAGGTCAGAGGTCATTTTTGTCTCACTGGTAGCTGTCACTCAAACCCTAGATACAACCCTTGACTAGCACAACAATCATTACTGTCCAGCGTGTGACAGCTGTGTGTGCCTGGTACTGGGATGGGATGTGGACCAGAGCCCATAATCTTCACAGCATAGTGGTTTTTTTTTTTAACCTTTGTAGAAACTTTTTATTTCCAGATCTAATAGCTGCTCTAAGCGGGTGAAACGTACTTCTTTAGCATTCCCAAACTCCTAGCTGCTCGAGAAACCCTATGCAAACCAGGTGATAGCAATTAGTAGTGACTCTAGCACAACTGATCCTTGATTTTGGACCAGTTAATGCTGTATAATACCATGGGGAGGAGCCTTGTCTCTGTTTTGTATCTTAATGAACCTCCAGTAGATGAAGGAGGAATCATAGTTTACACATAATCCATGATAATTGCTTGTTGAGAAAATCTAATTTGTCCTAATTGAGAAAATATATCAATTAATAATAATGAAGTGACTTATAGAGGGAACTTTTAAAAAAACTTATTTTATTGAAGTATAGTTGATTTACAATGTTGTGCTAGTTTCTGCTATACAGCAAAGTGATTCAGTTTTATATAACATTATTTTTCATATTCTTTTCCATTATGGTTTACCACAGGATGTTGAATATAGTTCCCTGTGTTATACAGTAGGACCTTGCTGTTTATCCATTCTATATGTAATCGTTTGCATCTGCTAATCCCAAACTCCCAAGCCATCCCTCCCACACACCTGCTCCCCCTTGGCAACCACAAGTCTGTTCTCTATGTCTGTGAGTCTGTTTCTCTTTGGTAGATAAGTTCATTTGTGTCCTATTTTAGATTCCACATATAAGTGATATCACAGGGTATTTGTCTTTCTCTGTCTGACTTACTTCACTTAGTATGATAACCTCTAGGTCCATCCATGTTGTTGCAAATAACACTACCCTTTTTAATGGCTGAGTAATATTCCATTGTATACACACACCACATCTTTATCCATTCATCTGTTAATGGACATTTAGGTTGTTTCCATGTCTTGGCTATTGTGAATAGTGCTGCTGTGAACATAAGGGTGCATGTATCTTTTCAAGTTAGAGTTTTGTCCAGATATATGCCTAGTAGTGGGATTGCTGGATCGTATGTCAACTCTATTTTCAGTTTTTTGAGAAACCTCCATATTGTTTTCCATAGTAGCTGCACCAATTTACATTCCCACCAACAGTGTAGGAGGGTTCCTAGAGGGAACTTTTTGAAATGTAAATCACATCATGTCACTACCCTGCTTGACACAACTCTACTGAGTCTTCTTTGTCTTTGGATTTATTATTTTTAATTGTAGTAAAATACATGTAACATAAATTTAGCCTCTTAACCATTTCTAAATGTATAGTTCAGTAGAGTTAAGTATATCCAAATTGTTGTGCAACCAATCCTCAGAACTCTTTTCTCTTGCAAAACTGAAATCTGTACCAATTGAACAACAACTCCATATTCCCCCCTCTCCCAGCCCCTAGCAACCACCATTCTACTTTCTGTCTCTATGAATTTGACTGCTCTAGGTACCTTATATAAGTGGACTCATACAGTATTTGTCTTTTTGCGGGTGGCTTATTTCACTTAATGTCCAAGTTTTATCCATGTTGTGCAGGTGTCAGAATTTATTTCCTTTTTAAGGCTGAATAATATTCCATTGCATGTATATACTACGTTTTGTTTATGCTTTGTCTTTGGAATTTATCGTAACTCCTTTCCATGGCCCTTAAAGTACTTCATGACAGAGTCCCTTCCTTGCTTTCCATCCCATCTCCTGTCTCTCACCCTGCATCACTGTGCCCCAGGCACATCAGTTCCCTCCCCTAGGTTTATTGAGATACACTTGGCATATAACATTGTGTAAATTTAGGTGTACAGTGTGTTTATTTGATACACTTATATATTGCAATATGATTACCACCATTAGCTAACACCTCTATCACATTACATGATTACCATTTCTTTTTTGTGGTGAGAACATTTAAGATCTACTATCTTAGTAACTTTGAAGTATACATTTTTGTTAACTATAATCACCATGCTGTGCATTAGGTCCCCAGAACTTATTCATCTTCTAACTGAAAGTTTGTACTCTTTGATGAACATCTCCCCATTTCCCCTGGTAACCACCATTCTACTCTTTACTTCTACAAGTTTAGCTTTTTTAGAGTCCACATGTATATGATATTATACAGTATTTGTTTTTCTCTGTTTGACTTACTTCACTTAACGTAATGCCCGCAAGGTCCATCCGTGTTGTCACAAATGGCAAGATTTCATTCTTTTTTATGGCTTAATAATATTTCATTGTACATACCACATCTTCTTTATCCATTCATCTGTTGACAGACACTTAGATTGTTTCCATACCTTGGCTATTGTAAATAATGGTGCAATGAACATGGTGGGGGGGTGCACATATTTTTTTGTTAGTGTTTTCATTTTCTTTGGATAATCCCAGAAGTGGAATTGCTGGATCATATGGTAGTTCTATTTTTAACTTTTTGAGGAATCTCCATACCATTTTTCATAGTGGCTGCACCAATTTACATTCCCACCAGCAGTGCACAGGATTCCCATTTCTCCACATCCTTGTCAGCACTTGTTACCTTGTGTCTTTTTGATGGTAGCCGTTCTAACAGGTGTGAGGTGATATCTCATTGTGGTTTTGATTTGCATTTCTCTGATGATTAGTGATGTTGAGCATCTTTTCATGTACCTGTTGGCATTTGTATGTCTTCTTTGGAAAAAAAAGTCTATTCAGTTCCTCTGACCATTTTAAAATTGTTTGTTGTTGTTGTTGTTATTGAATTATATGAGTTCTTTATATATTTTAGATATGAAACCCTTATCCAACTATACAGTTTGCAAATATTTTCTCCCATTTAATAGGTTGCTTTTTCATTTTGTTGATTGTTTCTTTTGCTGTACAAAAGCTTTTTAGTTTAATGTAGTCCCACTTTTGGATTTTCACTTTTTTTAAAAAAAGATTTATATTTATTTATTTTTGGCTGAGCTGTGTCTTAGTTGCAGCATGAGGGATCTTTGTTGCAGCATGCGGACTTCTTAGTTGTGGCATGCCTGCGGGATCTAGTTCCCTGACCAGGGATCGAACCCAGGCCCCCTGCACTGGGAACACAGAGTCTTACCCACTGGATCACCAGGGAAGTTCCTGATTTTCACTTTTTTTGCTTGTGCTTTTGGTGTCATATCCTAAAAAATCATTGTCAAGACCAATGTCAAGAAGCTTCCCTGTGTTTTCTTCTAGGAGTTTTGCAGTTTCCAGTTTTACATTTAAGTATTTAATCCATTTTTAGTTAAATTTTGTGAGCGGTGTTAAGATAGTGGTTCACTTTCAGTTTTCTGCATGTGGTTATCCAGTTTTCCCAACACTATTTATTGAAGATACTATCCTTTCCCCATTGAGTTTTCATGGCTCCCTTGTCAAGTATTAGTTGACCATATATGCATGGGTTTATCTGTGGGCTCTCAGTTCTGTTCCATTGGTCTATGTGTCTATTTTTATGCCAGTACCATAGTGTTTTGATTACTATAGTTTTGCAGTATAGTTTGAAATCAGGACGTGTGATGCCTCCAGCTTTTTTTCTATTTTTCTTTTTCAGGATTGCTTTGGCTATTTGATGTCTTTTGTGGTTACATAAGCATTTTAGGTTTTTCTTTTCTACTTCTATGAAAAATGCCATTGGAAATTTGATAGGGATTGCATTGAATCTGTAGATGGTTTTGGGTAGTATGGACATTTTAACAATATTAATTCTTCCAGTCATGACATGGGATACCTTTCCATTTATTTGTGTCTTCTTCAGTTTCTTTCATCAGTCTTATATTTTTCACCTCCTTGGTTAGATTCATTCTTAAGTACTTCATTGTCTTTGATGCTATTGTGAATGGGATTGTTTTATTTCTTTTTCAGATGTTTTATTGTTAGTGTAGAAAAATGCAGCTGATTTCTGTATGTTGATTTTGTATCCTGCAACTTTACTGAATTCATTGATTAGTTGTAACAATTTCTTGGTAGAGTCTTTAGGATTTTCTATATATAAGATCATATCATCTGCAAATAAAGATAATTTTACTTCTCCTTTTCTGATTTGGATACCTTTTTTTTTTTTTTTTCCGCAGTATGTGGGCCTCTCACTGTTGTGGCCTCTCCCGTTGCGGAGCACAGGCTCCGGACGCGCAGGCTCAACGGCCATGGCTCACGGGCCCAGCCGCTCCGCGGTATGTGGGATCTTCCCAGACCGGGGCACGAACCTGTGTCCCCTGCATCGGCAGGCGGACTCTCAACCACTGCGCCACCAGGGAAGCCCTGGATACCTTTTATTTCTTTATCTAACCTGATTGCTATGGCTATGACTTCCAGTAATATGTTGAATAGGAGTGGTGAGAGTTGTCACCCTTGTCTTGTTTTCTGATCTTAGAAGAAAAGCTTCCAACCTTTCAGCATTGAGTATGATGTTAGTTGTGGGCTTTTTGTATATGGCCTTTATTGTGTTGAGGTGCATTCCTTCTATATTTAATTTGTTGAAAGTTTTTTTATCCTGAAAGGATGTTGGATTTTGTCCAATGCTTTTTCTGTGTGTATTGAGATGACCATATGTTTTTATCTTTCATTCTATTAATGTGGTGTATCACATTTATTGATTTGCACATGTTGAGACATCCTTGCATCCCAGGGATAAGTCCCAGGTGATCACGGTGTATGAGCCTTTCAATGTACTGTTAAATTTGGTTTGCTAACACTTTGTTGATAGTTTTTGCATCTATATTCATCAGGGATATTGGTCTGTACAGTTGACCCTTGAACAATGTGGGGAGTGGGGTGGGGTTAGGGGCACCAACCCTCCTTGCAGTCGAAAATCCGTGTATAACTTATAGTTGGACCTCTGTACACGTGGTCCCTCCATATCCGTGGTTCCATCACATCTGTGGTTCCACATTCACAGATTCAACCTATCATGGATTGTTTAGTACTACAGTATTTACTGTTGAAAAAAAATCTGCATATAAGTGAACCCACACAGTACTTTCTTTTCTTTTCTGTCCTTATCTGGCTTTGGTATCAAGGTAATGCTGTCCTCCTAAAATGAGATTGTGAAGTAAGTATTATTAATCCCACCTGTTAAATTTGGAGGCTGACATTTTGAGAGGTTAGATAACTTCCGTGAAGCCGAACAGCTAGTTAGAGGCAGAGTTGGGATTGGCTCTCAAACCCCATTCTTAAGCATTGGGCCACTCCCTCCCAAGAGAGACTTCTTGCCTCACTATAAAGTCTGCCTAGAGAAGGAGCATTGGAGTCAGGACTTGAAGACATGTATGAGAGCAGCAGAGAGGAGAGGTGAGGGCAGAGGCTGGGACCCAAGGTCACACCTTCATGCTTTCGCCAGCACCATGTGGGAGTAGAGGGGGGCCATTTCTGGGTCAGTGGATGCTGCTCCTGTGGGTCCCCTGGAGCCATTGTTTGTGATGCCCCAGGAGCAGGGCAGAGGCCTCCAGGGTGTGTGACCCAGCTGGTGCTGAGCTCCTCGTCTCTCCCCCATCTCCCTGAGTGCTACAGGTAGGGAGCAGGATGGTGATTGTTGCGGCAGGCTGCGTGCTGCTCCTGATGGGCATATTTGGGAAGATCGGGGCTGCGTTTGCCACCATCCCAACCCCTGTGATCGGAGGCATGTTCCTGGTGATGTTTGGGGTCATCACTGCCGTGGGGATTTCCAATCTTCAGGTGAGGCAAGGCACCCTTAGGAAAGCAGCAGCATTGCATCTCCTGAAAGGAGCCCATGGGGATGGAGATGAATGGAACAGGGTGGGGACAAGGGAGGAGGAGAAGGGAGTCCTCAGTCCCAGAAACCGCACTGGCCCCAAATGGGAGAAAGAAATAACCAGAAGCACCCGAATTTCTGAAAAACAAAATTGCATCAGTTTGAATTGGATTATACAGACCACTCAGCTCCCAGGGTCAAGTGGGAGTCGGGACTTGTCTGAGAACCTGTGCCCTCTGAGCCCAGCCTCCCCCTCCAGTCTCAAGTGGCGGTGGGGGGGCTGGCTGGGCGGGTGTTTGACTGATGTGCAATACAGGTACTGATCGTTCCGGCTCTGCCGTGGGGGCCTCTCTCCTACAGTACGTGGACATGAACTCGTCCAGAAACATCTTTGTCTTTGGCTTCTCCATCTACTGTGGGCTTGCTGTTCCCAACTGGGTGAACAAGAACCCGGAGAGGCTCCACACAGGTGATTCTCCATCCTCTAGACTGTGACCACTCCAGGGGCAGAGCTGGTGGGGTCCCTGGTCCCTGGGAATTCCTGTCACTTTTAAAAAAAATTAACTATAGTCACCATGCTGTACATTACATCACCATGACTTATTTATTTCCAGTTCTATTGAGATATAATTGACATATATCACTGTATGAGTCCCAGGTATACAGCATAAAGGTTTGACATACGTATATTGTAAAACGACTACCATAATAAGTCTAGTTAACACCCATCTCCTCATATAGACACAATAAAAAGAAATGGGAAAAAAAATTTTCTCCTTGTGATGAGGACTCTTAGGATCTACTCTCTTACCAACTTTTCTATATATCATACAGCAGTGTTAACCATAGTCGTCATGTTGTACATTCCATCCCTCGTACTTATTTATCTTATAACCAGAAGTGTGTCCCTTTTGATCACCTTCCTCCAATTCCTCCTCCTCACACCCCCTGCTTCTGGTAACCACAAATCTGATCTCTTTTTCTATGAGTTTTTTTTTTTAACAGTCTATATATAATAAGTGAGATCATACAGTATTTGTCTTTCTCTATCTGATTCATGCCACAGCATAATGCTCTCAAGTTCCATCCATGTTGTTGCAAATAGCCAGATTTTATGGCTGAATAATATCCATTGTAAACATATACCTCATTTTTTTTAGTCATTCATCCATTGATGAACACTTAGGTTGTTTCCATATCTTGGCTCTTGTAAATAATGCTGCAGTGAAGGTGGCTGTGCATATATCTTTTTGAGTTAGTGTTTTCATTTTCTTTGGATGAATAACCAGGAGTGGAATTACTGGGTCATATGGTAGTTCTATTTTTAATTTTTGAGGAACCTCCATACTGTTTTCCATAGTGGTTGCACTAATTTACATTCCTGCCAACAGTGCCCAAGGGTCGTTTTCTCCACACCCTTGCCAAGACTTCCTAGTTCTTGTCTTTTTGGTAAAAGCCGAACAGGTGTGAGATGATATCTCACTGTGATTTTGATTTGCATTTCCCTGATGATTAGTGATGTTGAACACCTTTCATGTACCTATTGGCCATCTGTATATCTTCTTTGGAAAAATCTCTATTCAGATCCTCTGCCCTTTTTTTTTTTTTTGTCGTACACGGGCCTCTCACTGTTGTGGCCTCTTCCATTGCGGAGCACAGGCTCCGGGCACGCACGCTCAGCGGCCATAGCTCACAGGCCCAGCAGCTCCGCGGCATGTGGGATCCTCCCAGACCGGGTCACGAACCCTCGTCCCCTACATCGGCAGGCAGACTCTCAACCACTGCGCCACCAGGGAAGCCCCCTCTGCCCATTTTTTAATCCCTGTCACTTCTGTCTTCACTCTAGGGATTCTGCAGTTGGACCAGGTCATCCAGGTGCTGCTGACCACGGGCATGTTTGTTGGTGGATTTCTGGGCTTTCTACTGGACAACACCATCCCTGGTAGGGCTCACCTTTGCTCTGTAAGCTGGCAGTTTGGGTAGATGGTCAACATTTGGGTCACCCACATTGCTTCTCTAGCCCCAGTTCTCATGTAAGACTGGCCACAGCATACCCTGAGTGGGCCCTGCATCTGGGTGGGGTGTATGGGCCTGTACTAGCTTTCTAGGGCTGCCATCGCAAAATGCCACAGACTAGGAGGCTTAAACAACCGAAATGTATTTCCTCACAGTTCCAGAGGCTAGAAGTCCAAGAACAAGGTGTTGGCAGGATTGGTTTCTTCTGGGGCCTTTCTCCTTGACTTTCAGATGGATGGCCTTTCCTTCCTGTGTGTGCATCTCTGGTGTCTCTCTGTGTGTCCTAATCTCCTCTTCTTATAAAGACACCAGTCAGATTAAATTAGAGCCCACCCTAAAGACCTCATCTTTACGTCTTTAACTAAATCACCACTTTAAAGATTCTATCTCCAAATACAGTCACATTCTGAGGTTTGTGGGGTTAGGGCTTCAACATGATTTTTTTTGGGGGGGGACACAATTCAGCCCATAAAAGGACCCTAAGGTGAGAAATACACCAGAAGCAAAAAGCAAAAGACATAGCCCCAGCTCTCTTAGAGCCTGCCGTCTAGTTGACGAGGGAGAGAATGCATGTGTTCATTTATTCATATTCCAATAAAAACCACAGCAAGTACACTGTTCCAGGTGCTCTGTATTGAGGATACAAAGGGCTGCAAGACATGCCCCCCTGCCTTCTAGAAACTCACAGGCTAGTAGGGGAGAGAGACACGACAACAGACCATTACAGTACAGGGAAGTAAGTGTGATGATGAGCAAACGAAGCCCATGAGCGCTGAGGTGAAGAGCGCAGAGCTGCCCTCGCTGGTGGCTTTCAGTGCTCCCTTCTTGATCCTCCCATGGCCCCTTGAAAGGACCTCTGTGATAGCTCCTGCTTCGTGGTATTCCATTTCCCGCATTTCTTCTCTCCACCAAATGTAAAATGCATCTGCATTCCAGAAACACTGAAATATAGAAAGGTCCGCTCTGGAAGATGAGGAAAGAACAGTGGTTCATAGAAGGTCGTACCCCGGAGCTCAGGGAACACCTGATGATGAGCTGAGTTGAGCTGAGCTGATTCTTGGGATGGGCTTGGAGGGGGAGGAAGGGCTGCTGGCAGGTGCAGGGCACTGAGACGAGGCCTCGTGAGTGCCTGCAGGGGGGGCCAGAGGCTTCCGCCCCCTCCCTCAGGGCCTAGGCTTGACTGCTTGCTGGCTCCCTTTAGGAAGCCTGGAGGAGAGAGGCCTCCTGGCGTGGAATCAAATCCAGAAGTCTGAGGAAACTACGAAGATCTCGGAGGTCTACAGCCTCCCCTGGGGGATCGGCACCAGGTTCTGCGCATCCTCCTGCACCCGGTGCCTCCCCTTCTGGCCCAAGCTGGAACGTGGTGGGAGAGGTGAGGTGGGGGTGAGCCAGCTGACGCTCTGCTCCTGTGACCCCTCAGAAGAGCGACCCAAGGGCGCCACAGACACCAGGATGTAAGAACGCTCCTTCTGCACATCCCAGAGGCTTCACTATCCCCCTACCCAATGTGCTGAGCTCCCCACTCACGTATGGAGGGGACCCTGCCCTCTCAAGTACCTCTGCACCCCGCACGTGGTGGCAGCCAAATAAGTATTAGATTAAGACCATGACAAGCATGCTTTGACCCAGTCACTTAGCCAGCGAGGTCTGGCCTCAAGCTGCTTCCTTCCACCATGCTCCAGCCCTCCCATCTCCAGTGTAAACCAGTCCTCCTGGCAGTATTTTGATGCATCGGGAGGAAGAGGCTTTGGGTGGGGCAGGCGACAGAGATGGGGTTGTTTGCTGAAAGGTGACGGGAACAGTTCTCTTCCTCCCCAAAGAGGCTGGAGGCCCTGCCAGCACCCCCCCAGGCCCTTCTCTTCCAGACGCTGCTTCTTCCAGGCCTCTCCCCTGCAGGTCCCTCCCCGCCAGGCCCCTGCCATTTGTGAACACCGAAGGGCCAGCAAAGCTACAATCCCTGCACAGCCCCAGCGCCAGTCCTTGGGGTCAGACTGTGTATCACAGGACGGTATAGTGAGGCTGTAGGCCCTGGCGCTGTGGAGTCAGGACCAGGTTTGGATCCTAAGACTTAACCTGCATGTCAGGTTCTCACAGGGACATGAAACAGTCAAAGCATTTGAGAGGCCTTCAGTGGAGCAGAGCCACTGTTGTTATGATATATAAACTGTAAAGAGCCAGGCGAACCTGTTCTCTCTGCATCCTCAGTGGATTAGTCAGGATTCTCTAGAGAAACAGAGCCAATAGGGGGTGTGGGTGTGTGTATACACATACATGTCTGCAGAGAGATATATACATGTGTCCACACACACACATACATATATGGAGGTGGTGGGAGGGCAGGGCAGGGAGAGAGATTGACTTAAGGAATGGACTCATGTGATTGTGGAGGCTGGCAAGTCCAAAGTCTGCAGGGTAGACCAGCAGGCTGGGAAGAGTTACAGCTGGAGTCTGAAGGCAGTCACTAGCAGAATCCCCTCTTCCTGGGGGAGGTCAATCCTTTGGTATTCAGTCCTTCAACTGATTGGATGAGGCCCACCCACACTATGGAGGGTAATCTGCTTTACTCAAGCTCTACTGATTTAAATGTTAATCTTTTCTAAAAAAATACCTTCATAGAAACACCTGGAATAATGTTTGACCAAATACCTGGGTACCATGGCCTAGCCACGTTGACATACAAAATTAACCATCACACCCAGTGTACAGGCCCAGGGACATTTATGCACTCTTTGCCCAGGGGCCTCACCAGAAAGCACTCAGAACACTGTGGGATCTGGCTTGGACTCCGTTCAGGAGTCTTTATTATCAGAAGAAGCAGATGTAGCTGATGTCCTGGAGCACAGGAGGTCAACACTGTTCCTGGGCTCCTAGAACATGCCGGATGTTTGGTGGGCTCCAGAACTCTCTAGAACCCATCAAAACAATGCCCTGAACCCAGGTGTGCTGCAAGTACCCGGTGTCATGGGACAGATCCTGCCTGTCCTGTTCTTGAAAGGCTCATGGCCTGGGCCTTGGGTGCATCCGGTACCCCCTGAATAGGAGCACAGTGGGAGCAGGTGTGTGCCCTGCAGCAGGCCAGCACCTCATACCAAACAACCCTGAAAGACTGACACGGGGCCACACTCCTCTTAAATACTTTATAATAATCAGAAACGACAACCATCAAAATGCTTTCAGGACAGCCCACTCCAAAACGTCCTGCAAGGCTGAGGCAGGGGCAACCTGGGCTGTGAGCATTCAAACTTGGAGACTGCCCGCCCTCCTTCACCCCTCCTGCTCCCACTGCATCACAGATCTTCATCGTCAAACGTCTCCGTGCACCTCAACATTACCGTCTCATCGTCGAAGGAAAGGTCTGGTTCCTGCAAAACACAGGTAGAAGAGGATTCAACTTTATTTAAGGGCTCTGGGCCTCAGGCAGAGGAGAAGGCCCCATCATCTCAGACATGCCCCCTCCCTCTGTCTCTCCCCCACGTCTCTTCAGTGGTATCTTCTTCTCCAGCTTCCAGCCAGGAAGTTAAAAGCAATGGGGGGCAGGGAGTCCATTTCTATTTCACTCCACTCAATACTCTGTGATCTCCAGAATGGCTTCTCCTGGATTCAACAGAACTGACTTCTTTCCTCTCCTGGAGATTCCTGGGATGCCATAAGAGAGACGGGGGCAGTCTTAAAGCTTTATCCAAATGCCCTCAACAGAGGATGGTGAATTACACCATTATGCACCCACCAGCTATTTCAAAAAAAAAAAAAAAAGGAATGAGATCCCTCTCTATCCGTAGGATAAACTATTTTAAAAGGGCAAGGTACAGAGCAATGTGTATAGTAGGCTACCATTTGTGTTTGAAAGATTACATAAATATCTGGAGAATACCTTTGGATGGCTGTACAGAAACTGGGCATGGTAATTGCCTTCAGGGAAGGGAATGCGATAGTAAGCAAGGGACAGTGGTAGGCGAAAGACTACGTTTTCTTTGTATATCTTTTGGTAACTTTCGAACTTTAAACCATGTTCATGGGTTAGCTGTTTGGAGATAATTTTTTAAAAGAAACAGCGCTATGTCTGTTTAGCAAGCGTTTCTCAGTCCCTTAACAATGACCCCAGCCAACCTCTCTGACTCCCCATTACCTCTTCCCCTAACCGTACATTCCTGGGTTTATGTTCTTCCTACCTCTCCGCACCCCAGCAGAAAATCAGCCCTGTAATTTGTTAGCCCTGATGGTTAGGGGTTGATCCCCTTGGGCCCCGGGAAGCACCCCTAATCCAGCCAACCATCTTATGAACATGGGACCTGGTCCCCAGGGTGACGGCCAGATTGAGGGTGACTGCCAATGAAGCCTCTCCAGCTCTGGAGAGCGGCCCCCACCTGCTGTGCTCTGCTGCTGGGGGAGGGGCGCACGAGAGCCTGGGGATCCAAGAGGGGGAAGAGCTGGTAGAAGGAAAATCACCCAGACCCATCGTTCAGGGTGAGGATGCGGCAAAGGTTGAGAAAAGAGGGAGTTGGAGCATAGTGGTTGCCCGGAGCCCAAGCGTCCTGGGAGGGAACCACACGCTGGAGTCTCTATCACACAGAGTGCTTGAATGTCATTCCAAATGTTCTACTTCCTTAAGCCTCTGAAAACGGTGATGAGGCATTTTTAAGCTGCAGATTTGTGAAAGCACTAGTCTGTGAGAGGTGTTTGCTGGGATTGGGTGCTGAAATGTGTTGAGTAGTGTTCCCTCTAGTTCATATCCTCCTGAAACCTATTGGGAAATAGAGTCTGTGCAGATGTAAGATTAGTTAAGGATGTCAAGCCGAAATCATCTGGATCTAGGGTGTGCCCTCAACCCAAATGGCTGGTGTCCTTACAAGATGAGAGGGACGGAGAGATACACAGCAGAAGGCCATGTGAAGACGGGGGCAGTTACTGCAGTGATGCAGCTACAAGTCAGGGGATGCCGAGGATGGCTGGGAGCCACCAGGAGCTAGGAGGAGGCAAGGAGGAATCCTTCCCTAGAGCTTTCAGAGAGAGCGTGGCCCTGCCAACACCTTGATTTGGCCTTCTGGCCTCCAGAGCTACGAGAGAATAGATTTTTCTTGTTTTAAGCCACCAAGTTTGTGGTAATTGTAACGTCAGCCCTAGGAAACCAGTACAGGTACTAATTAAGCTTCATCCAACCACCTCCCATGAAGCTGATAGCGGGGGACAAACGGGGAAGAGAATGCAGTTGCCCTCTTTACAAACCATCTACCAAGCCTGAGGCCTCCTGCACGAGGACACTCTTGAACAGCCTGTTCAAAATACAGATTTCTGGGGCTGCATCTCGCAATACTGGATGGGAATCTTGGGTGTGGGGACATCAGGAGTCTGCATTTCCAGTGAGCTCCCAAGGCGATTCAAGTCTGAGTACCTCTGCTTTCCATGGGTGCTCCAGCCCTGCCTGTTCTTTCTTTCCTGCCATGTGTAGAGAAAGGAAGCAGGGAAAGCAAAGACTGTCCCATCGATCCATTCTCAAGGCCTTGGTAAAGTGAACTGACTTCACTGTGTCGAGAGAAAGGGACACAGTGGTCAGAGCCGGTGGCCAAGGGTTGGGAGGTGGAGAGCAAAGCGCAGGGAAGGGCCCTGGCTCCAAGTGGAGATTCAGAGTGGTCTTGGCAGAGGGAAATGAAGGGTTAGCAGGAAGAGGCCCCATGGAAAAGCTGTCCGAATTATTTGAGACATTTCCATCCCTATCACTTACCTTTTTTAATGAACAGCTATAGTTTTGCTAAATTCGTGAGAAGATCAATGGCTATGAACCTGAAAGGGCCTGTCCCCTTGGCAGCTCAGGCATAACCCTCTACCCCCGTGGAAGCTTCCAGGAATGGACCTTCTAACCAAGACCCCCCACAGTGCATGTCCCCGTGGGCTGCACAGTCAGCTTTTTGGAAGCAGAAATTAATATCCTTCAAAAGCTGGCAGCAAATATTACCCCGGGGTCTCCGAAGACAACGAAATGGTCTGGCCTCTTAGAAAGGCATAAAGGAGTCACACAACATGTAGGAATGCCTGTGAAGGGCCAGGCCCCGGAGGTCTGGTCCCGGCATCAAGGGACTCCCCAGGCTCAGGTCTGCCCTGAAGAGCATCCCTCTGTCTCTCCCCTCCATTTCCCCGGACATCCTCCGTTTCACAGGATGCATTAGGCTGAAGTCAACCACCCGCGGAAGAACGTCCTCCCGCCGGGGTGTGAGCTGGGGGGGCTGTAGCTGGGTCTCCCCTCCAGAGCCCTTCCCACCCTCCGAGGGGAGGTGAGCCAAGGCCTCACTGTGCTCTGCTCCGTCCTACCTGTTTGAACTGAGTGTCAACACAGCAAAGGCCTTTAAAAAAATTGACGATCTGCAGGTAGAGCTGAAACTTGTCCTCGGGATTTTGTGGGTTGCAGACAGCCAGCACGGAACTGACAGCAGAAAGGAGGAAGAAACAGCAAACCTTTAAAATCCTAACGTTTTACCTCTGTTTGTACCCACTAAAATATTTGGATTACAGTGGGAGCCAAGCACTTTGAAGCACGCAGCCGAGCCCTCCATGGAAGGTTTGCATGGCCCCAGTTCCAACATCATGTCTGGAACCTGCTGGGAAAGTGAGACTACAGGGAGGCAGGCCCGCATGCCTAGCTTAGTGTTCTGAGCTGCGGCCTGTGGAACAAGGAGCGAGATTTCCTCTCCTCCCGGAGTCAGGCTCGTACAGCAACGCCATACGGTTCTGCTCCCACCGGTGGTTGCCCAGGCTCGGGGGGCTCAGGGCACGATCGACATCAGCCCCTTGAGATGCCTCCGCTCAGGAGGTCTAACACGGAACACGGGCCTGGCGCAGAGGGCAGGCTGCTTTGCAGATTCCTTTCCTGCTGCTTCCTGGGACAAGGGGAGAAGCCTGCCAACAGGACCGTGAATCAGGCCTGGACAGCTGACTTCCTGCTGGAGTGAGGTCTCACAGTCAGCGTGGGAACCCCTGGCAGCAACCCCTGCCTTTTCTAGGGAAAATAGAAAAAAAATTTTTTAATTGGTTGGTTTTTGTTCCATCAGTAGAATGAGGAGTTCCAAGTACACTTTGGCCACTTTTCAACAAAATTGTCTTCACAGCCCAAGCCC